ATATGAGCGAAATACTCTCAAGCACGACGTAAAACCCAATTTCACCTCACCTCACCCAACACAACATCTTCACACTCTCTTAGAACCCCAAAACATGTCCTACTTCTTTTGTATCTTAGACAAAATGTTCTTCCATGCAAAACAAATACCTAAAAACGCTATGTTTTGCCTAATTGAATAAGTACTAACATGCCCCATGACGTGGCTCGTCTATCATGCTATTAGCCACTGGTTTGTCTCCCTAAGTTACAAATCGCTGTGAAATATTTGGAATAATACTGGCATGACGTAAGCAAAAATCCCTCAGATATATTTCTCACCATGATCCAAAGAATGATAAACAGTGATTCGATAGCTGGTGTGGAAAACACTTGAAATAATTCCGATGGTCACCAGTCAACATGGTTTATTCATTACATGTCTGACAGGGGCCGTGACCAAGTCTATGCCTGCTTATATACATCGTATATATATGTATCGGATGTCGACAAAACACGAACGACGGAGATATATTCACCAAAATGCTTCATCCATCGATTGTTGCATGAATGTAAAGAATATTAATTTTGTAACAATGCCATAGGCCAAGTATACATCATTCATATCACGAATGTGTATCGTGCAACAAATGGTAAGTAAAACACAGAAATAAGTCAGCAATTCTGAGAAAAGTCGTCTTCTGTAAAATATTCATTCGATGTTATTAATACGCCTGATTACCAAACATATAGCCACATTTAAGGCAGACCGGCATTCGAACCCTCAACCACAGGATTCCGACAGGCCTGAGGGAATTCATTCTGCACATCGAATTGCTGCTGTTTAGACGACACCTGGTGACATCACTGGCTTTCAGTTATCCGTCCCGAGACCTTGAACCACTATCTTGCCTTTGACGTTCAATGGAATATGTTTCAGATGATAATCTAGATTGGTTAGTTTCTGGCGTTGACATTGTATGTGCAGTTACAACACTGCGCGTTAGCTTAATGTGAGCGGAGGTTCAAACAAATAAACAGTTTAAATTATATCTATGACTAGCTTTATAAAATATACATTAAGGTTACAAAAACATGATTTAGAAAATGACCAGGTACAAATTTTTGCTTTGCCAGAACCAACTTCATAGCAACACTGGCACATTAAGATGTTAGGACTGTTAACCCATGGCAAGACTGCCTCATTGACACGCTGTACACATCTGAACTTTATATGAAGAATACTTCAAAGCACTTGCCCCATCCGCGAAGAACCGGTTCAGAATTCAGTAACCCATGCTTGTCGTAAGAGGCGACTAACGGGATCGGGTGGTCAGACTCGCTGTCATGGCAGACACATGTCACTGTATCCCATATGTGAAGATCAATGCTCATGCTGTTGATCACTGGATTGTCTGGTCCAGGCTCGATTATTTACATACCGCCGCCATGTAGCTGGAATATTGCTGAGTACGACGTTGAATAACAAACCAACCAACCGTTTAAGGAGATGGGATGGATTCCACTCTCATTTGTGAAACCCAAAGGTTGGCGATGACCAAGGATCATTATAAGAGCGAAACTGATCCTCGATCACCGGATCCTGTCATGACTAAGGGACATGACTCTGTAATGGAATTGCAGCGCCCCAGGACGCTGGTCAACCAGTACCCATTGAAACTGGTGCATGTAGTGAAGGTGTGTGCAGCGAATAATGTTAATACAACCGCGTGTGCCCGTGGGTAATACGGGCACATGTGCATATTCCCGAAATAAAGCAACTTCAATAACAATCAGTTATGTGTGTTTTCTATGTCGTTCTCTGTACTTCATACTGGGAATTGCATATTGATTAAACATGAAGCTGACACATTTGTCTCTATCAATCTAGATAATTGGCACTGGAATTGGTCACTGCTTGACGTCATGTGACGGATCTGTTTCTTTCTGTAGACACGGCATGGGAAGTAACCGCACGTCACGCTTGTAACACGCCATGTACATAACAAAGCGACGTATTGTGTTGTATCCGGGGAGGAGATCGGAATAGCCGGAGGATATCTATCACGATAGCAACATGTACATAACCAGTGCATTGACAGGAAGGAGAGGGGAATAGTCTGGAGAAACAATTCAACGCTTATTAAATGGCAAGTGTATACGTATGGAAGCATATCACCCTCTGAAAAAATGGTCTTCTGTGCTAATGATAGTAGTTTACCTTTTCTATTTTAAGAAAAGCCTTTAATCTAAGTAAAGATTATCAATAAATTATTTCAAAGAGCATAATTTGGTGGTATTAGCTGATGGTGTTGACTGATGTAATAAATCGTGATCGCCATTTCATCTGTACACACCAAGTACATTGTCTGGGGAGGAGACAGGAATAGCCTGTGAAAATGTTTCAACTCTTCCAAAGGGCAGCTGTATGGAAGCGCGTTAGGACCACGTTCTGAAAAAGAAAATAGTATCTGCACGGATGATATTTCTTTTGTTTTGTGGCATTAATTAGCTTCCATACCACTGAAGCTGTTGCTACACAGTTGCTTCATCTTTCTATTTCATCAGCTTTCTGTTTTAAAAGGAGACAAAATCAATCGACATATTGACATTACGTGCATAGATTACAACGTTGAAACGTAGCACGCGATGGTCATGTTACCTTGACACAAGGTCACGGCATATTAAACGGGAGATCGGCCCTCTGTATCTTCTATCTTCTATCCCCAGTCGCCATAAATATATTTATGATTTATTTCATTTCCACATCTTGAACATTGTGAAATCAATAACTGTCAGACGAAAGGTTATATCATGAATTACAGTTTAAGATTTGACAAATCAATATTATTAAAATGGGAATTATTGATATGAAATGCAGTATAAATGCACCAGCGTCTCCCTGTGAAGTCAGACGGACAGTGGGACATTCGTTCTCGGCGTCGTCAGTTACAACAAAACAAAGCTGTCGTTGTTCATGATGCAATATGGCACACTGGCGACACCTTGCATCGACACCTGATACACAGATACAAATACATTTACCACAGTGACTCATACTGGCTCATTTTTCAAAACAGATAACATTTAGCTCGATTATGATAATCGAGACGGTTTAAAACGGTTAATATGAACTTGGTGGGTATAAGCTGTGCGCTTTGCAAGTACAAAAATGTCATTTTTTTCAAAACTCGTGTTGTGATGGAGATAGTGACGTGGGCAGTGTGTGCTTGTTTGCAGAATCTCCGATCAACCAGGTAACATCCCTCGAACAACTGGTCCCCTAAAACGTAAAACGTACAATTAATTGTGACTGTGGTGGCTCCTACAGTGATAGACTAACGCTTATCCTCTGAATATATATTATTTTGGTAGAAACAAGTAATTCCTTTTAAATTGAAAAGAAGCCAGGGTGGTGGGAGATTCACAGTGTGGTTCAGGGACTGTTAGACAGTCCAGTACAGGGGGCAAACTCCCGGCCGAGTAGTTACCGTCAGCGAAGAACAGCAAGCTTCGACAGCCAGATGAGGAAGAAAATTAGCCCTCTCAACCACTAGTAAAAATACCTGTGAAGATCAGGTTTACAATTAGTCTTCAATAACATTAACGTTTCGTAAGAGGCGATCGACGGGATAAGGTGGTCAAGCCTGGTGAATTTAGTGATGAATGTCATCGTATACCAATTGGCGATTTTACACTCATGTCTTTGAAGAAAAACGACGATGTCCGGATAGATCCCATTTTGATGTCGGCTGGTATTTGAAACAAACAGTGGAGATCCGGGTTGAAATTGGTCTTCAGTAACCCATGCTTGTAAGAGGCGACTAACGGGGTCGGGTGGTAAGGCTCGCTGAAATTGTTGACACAGGTCATCATATCCCAATTGCGTAGATCCATGCTTATAGGGTCAACCACAGGATTGTTTGGACCAGACTCCATTATTTACAGACACCAGCACAAATTCCCTTTGCATCAAATTCAGTTTGAAAAAGTCCATAGTTTCTTAAGCACAAAGGAGTACTCCACCGAAACAACCAAACCCTACATAGAAGTCCGAGGTCGAGGTCGAGGTAGAGGTCATTACGTTCCCTCTGCCCTCGTTGTTAATTGATAATCACTGTCCAACCAGCTCACTTCAAGTGTTCAGTTCTTACTGTCACATCTGGCTTCACAACCTGTGTGATATTTGTTATTCATACAGTACTGGCTTCCACAATCTGGCTTCCACAAGCTATCTATTGTGCTACTTATTATCCAATGCCTGTTCTTGTTATTGTTAATTTGCTGCTTATCACAACATATCATGTATATATAACTGTCATCAGTTGGTTGCCGACATTCCTGCCTGACAGGGTGGAAGAATCCACAGTGCAATAATCTAGAAGCTGTTGATGTCCATACAGCTGTACGTTTTCATATATCTCAAAAAACTTCTAGGATGTCAATCAAACAATTGTTACTAGTACTGCTACTGCTGTTGCTGTTGCTGCAATATCCACCACCACGACACCGTCTACATCTACGTCTACTGCCACTACGTCTACTACTTTACTTCTGCTACTACTACTGCTGCTGCTACTACACCTACTACTTATACTACAACACTACTACGTCTACTGCAACTACTTCTACTTCTACTTCTACGTCTACATCTACGTCTACATCTACGTCTACTGCCACTACGTCTACTACTTTACTTCTTCTGCTACTACTACTACTACTGCTGCTGCTACTACACCTACTACTTATACTACCACACTACTACGACGGCAGTGGGGTATCCTAGTGGTTAAAGCGTTCACTCGTCACGCCGAAGACCCTGGTTCGATTCCCCACATGGGTACAGTGCGTGAAGCCCATTTCTGGTGTCCCCTGCCGTGATGTTGCTGGAATATTGCTAAAAGCGGCGTAAAACCATACTCACTCACTCACTCACTCACTCACTACCACCACTGCACCTGTTGTTTCCAATGCCTAAGATAATAGATAATGCAAATTATCATTTTACATTTTGTTTTGCAGAATCAACCCAGGATGTGGCCCTGTCTTTTAATGGCGCTGCTAACGCTCCTACTTCAGCCGGCATCTCCACAAACAGGTACGTCGCTCCCCGTCACCGATTCTGCAGCGTTATCATAGACTGCCCAAAATAATGTCTTCCTCAGAAACTAATTTTAAAAAATGACCAGCTCAGATCCTCATAAACCCTACAACTACATCAAAACCGGATATGTTTCACGTTCCATTTCCAACATTGTCGATCTCGGTTAAATAATGATTAACCCGAAACAGAAGACAATATAAATATATAAATAAAAATTAAGTCCAGTCTGTATCTGAAAATATATTTTGAGTTATCGCCTGAAGAGGAAAAAATCGTTTCACAAATAAGTGCATAAGTATGAAATGTAATGAAATGACTAATGCTGCTACTTGTAATAAAAAAAATTCAGTAACCATTTCTCGAGTATTTTCTCGTCGCTTCACGTTGATTCGATTAATTTCTCATTGCTTCGGGTAGTTTCTCGTTTCTTTAAGTTTCTTTCAAAAACGTCTCGTACTCGAAGCAACGAGAAAATAATTAAATTAACGAGAAAATACTCACAACCTCCGACAAAATAATCGAAGCAACGAGAAATTTCTCTGACAGACAGCATTAGGCTTTTGTAGTAAAGCGGTTACTATTGTGTTTATGTTGTAATGTGATGTGTACCTTACACTTGTGCAGCGTCCCGCCTGGAGAGTAACCCCTGCACAAACGCCGCTACCTGTGGGGAGTGTATCCGGACATCATCTGTGTGTGCCTGGTGCGCCTCGGAGGTGAGGAGAGAGTGAGTGAGTGGGTGTGGTTTTACGCCGCTTTTAGCAGTATTCCAGCAATATCACGGCGGTCTGTCATGCAGAACCTGAAACATGTTATCAGACCATCTTTGCGGGTCTTATAGTTTGGAGATTTTCTCAACTTCAACGAAGAGATTATTTGGCTCGATATTATATGATATATTCAGCAATTTTGTACATTTGAGATATTTAAAAATTATGCTTGAGCATTATGGGTCCAGTAAGCTCTAGATAATGTTTGTTTATATTTTAACTTTGAGTTTCAAGTATATGCTTTCGTTTGCTGGCATTGTAGTTCGTTATTGCTTGCTGACAGAAGAGTGCCTAGACTCAAAGGAATTTTAAGTTGAACGTATTTTCAAGAGTTCATATACAGTTCCTACTACAGTTACAATCCCAGTTACGACTACAGTTACAATTCCAGTTACGACTACAGTTACAACACGACTACAGTTACAATTCCAGTTACGACTACGTATACAGTTCCTACTGCAGTTACAATTCCAGTTACGACTACGTATACAGTTCCTACTACAGTTACAATTCCAGTTACGACTACGTATACAGTTCCTACTGCAGTTACAATTCCAGTTACGACTACAGTTACAATACAGTTACCTACTTCAGTTACAGTTCCTACGGTTACAATTCCAGTTACGACTACAGTATACAATTCCAGTTACTACTACAGTTACAATTACAGTTACGACTACAGTTACAATTCCTACTACAGTTACAATTACAGTTACGACTACAGTTACAATTCCAGTTACGACTACGTATACAGTTCCTACTGCAGTTACAATTACAGTTACGACTACGTATACAGTTCCTACTACAGTTACAATTACAGTTACGACTACAGTTACAATTACAGTTACTACTACAGTTTACTTACAGTTCCTACTACAGTTACAATTACAGTTACGACTACAGTTACAATTCCAGTTACGACTACAGTTACAATTCCAGTTACACGACTACAGTTACTACAGTTACGACTACAGTTACCAGTTACGACTACAGTTCCTACTACAGTTACAATTCCAGTTACAGTTACATACAGTTACTACTACAGTTACGAGTTACAATTACACAATTACAGTTCCGACTACAGTTACAATTCCAGTTACGACTACGTATACAATTCCAGTTACGACGACTACAGTTACAATTCCAGTTACGACTACAGTTACGAATTCAGTTACGACTACATACAGTTACTACTACAGTTACAAGTCCAGTTACGACTACGTATACAGTTCCTACTACAGTTACAATTCCAGTTACGACTACAGTTACAATACGACTACAGTTACAATTACAGTTACGACTACAGTTACAATTCCAGTTACGACTACGTATACAGTTCCTACTACAGTTACAATTCCAGTTACTACTACAGTTACAATACGACTACAGTTACAATTCCAGTTACGACTACAGTTACAATTCCAGTTACGACTACGTACGACTACAGTTACGACTACAGTTACAACTCCAGTTACGACTACAGTTACAATTCCAGTTACGACTACAGTATACTACACTACAGTTACCAGTTAACTACGTATACAGTTACGACTACGTATACAGTTACGACTACAGTTACAATTCCAGTTACGACTACAGTTACAATACGACTACAGTTACAATTCCAGTTACGACTACAGTTACAATTCCAGTTACGACTACAGTTACAACTCCAGTTACGACTACAGTTACGACTACAGTTACAACTCCAGTTACGACTACAGTTACAGTTACGTCTACATTTACAGTTACAATACGTGACGACTACAGTTAGTTACAACTACAGTTACAGTTACGACTACAGTTTACAACTCCAGTTACGACTACAGTTACAACTCCAGTTACGACTACAGTTACAACTCCAGTTACGACTACAGTTACAACTCCAGTTACGACTACAGTTACGACTACAGTTACAACTCCAGTTACGACTACAGTTACGACTACAGTTACAACTCCAGTTACGACTACAGTTACGACTACAGTTACAACTCTAGTTACGACTACAGTTACGACTACAGTTACGACTACAGTTACGACTCCAGTTACGTCTACAGTTACTCTAGTTGCGACTACAGTTACGACTACAGTTACAACTCTAGTTACGACTTCGACACTGTTAGAGCTACAGTTCACCCTACGTGTTATACAATTTATCTTTGCTTCCTGGACGAGAAGAATATTTTGAGCAACGGTGAGTTGCTGTTAAACTTAACCCATTCAACCGTAGACTTTCGACCAATCCTTATCCCGCTGTGACCTGGAGGAACACTTGGTGTCGTCTGGAGCCTGCAAAAGAGAGGACATCCAGGCTCCTAGCTACCAGCTGAATGTCACAGAGGTGAGAGTTCAATCCAATGAGAGTTAGTAAGTGAGGGAGTGAGAATGGTTTTACGCCGCTTTTACCAATACTGCAGCAATATCACGGAGGGGGACACCAGAAATGGACTCCACACATTGTACCCATGTGGGGAATCGAACCGGGGTCTTCGGCGTGACGAGCGAACGCTTTAACCACCAGGCTACCCCACCGCCAGCAGTGTGCGTGATTTAATACTGTCATCAATTCATTGATAACAATAGTAACAGTTATGATGAGAATGAAGATGACGAAGCTGATGATAATTATGGTGATGATTACATTGATTACGATAGCAGTGATGGTGACAATTACGATGAGTGAGTGAGTATGGTTTAACGCCGCTTTTAGCAATATTCCAGCAACATCACGGCGGGGGACACCAGAAATGGGCCTCACATTGTACCCGAACGCTTTAACCACTAGGCTACCCCACCGCCCGCGATTACGATGATGATGGTGATGATGGTGATGATGACGACGACGGTGATGATAGTGTAGATGGTAGTGAAGATATGCCTACGCCAGAGGGGCCTGCTCAGAGGCAGTGCTATTGCGACGTTCGAGAAGTGTTCATGAACTTGAATCTTTTGTTCGCTTCTTACTACAGCAGTAGACGTTGTTACCACGTCACTGTAGATGCACCAGGAGATGTTGTCACTGTAGCTCAGCAGATGTAGTCACCTCGCCACTGTAGATGCAGTAAGGGCTTCAGTCACTTGGGTTAAAAACAATAACATTGATGTTATTGTGTGGCCATATTGTACTACTGGCGGTGATGTTGTATGCTGCAGGACGCGTCAGTGCAGGGAGGAGACGGCACAGAAGAAGCTGTACAAGTACAGCCCCAGGCCATCAGGCTGAGAGTCAGGCCTAGTGAGTATATTTCTTACAGCAGTTTGTTTGAATGAGTTTAGTTTTACGCTCCTCTTAGCAATATTCCAGCAATACCACGGCTAATTACCAGAAATAGGCTTCACACATTGTACCCATGTGGGAATTCGAACCCAGGTTTTCGGCGTGACTGGCGAACGCTTTTACCACTAGACTACCCACCCCCTATACAGTAATATAAAAACATTTAAATGCGGTCATATCACCGAGGTCCACTTGCACGAAGTGACCTTATCTCTATGACTGAGAAATCTGTGTTTGAACCACAGTGGCGCTCATACCGGGCCCTGTTCAGAAATATATTAGTGAGAAAGTTTAGTTTTACGCCGCTTTAGTTTTCAAGCTATATGGCGGCGATCTGTAAATAATCGAGTCTGGACCAGACAATCCAGTGAGCAACAGCATGAGCATCGATCTGCGCAATTGGGAACCGATGACATGTATCAACCAAGTCAGCGAGCCTGACCACCCGACCCCGTTCGTCGCCTCTTACGACAAGCATAGGTTACTGAAGATCAATTCTAACCCAGATCTTCACGGGTCTAAGCAAAAAGGAAAATAAACAAAAAAATATCACTGGCTTCTTCAATATTGTTGGAAATATACGTTTGTGTTAATGCATTACTGTTTATTGTTTAGGGATATTTCCAAAAGCGATACATTTATCACCTGTAACGCCTGTGGTCGTGAGTTAAGGGTGAATGTTACAGATGAGGCTGTGAAGTTCAAGGTTCAGTTCCGGCAGGCCGAGAACTACCCCGTTGACCTGTACTTCCTGCTGGACATGTCGCACTCCATGGTGAAGGAGAAGGACGCTCAGACCAGGCTCATCAACCTCGGCATCGCCATGAGTGAGTATACACCACGTAGCTGGCCACGGGATAGCCAACACATACAGTGTGTGCAACACTGTCTGTAACCTGTGCCCAGCCACGCTCTCTCTTTCTCTGGAGGTTTACACGAGTGAGTGAGTGAGTTTAGTAATCGAGTGTTTTTGATCCTATGCATGTCTGCAATCGAGTGTCTGAGCGAGTATATGTATATATGTATATATAGATGGGTATAGATACCCTGCGGGTCATCTTTATTTCTGTGACATTTGGAAATGTTTGTTTCAGAAAATAGCATGGTTGAGATCACAAAAGATTTCCGTCTGGGCTTCGGGACATTCGTGGACAAGCTGGCGATGCCCTATGTCGCCTGGACACAGAAGATGTAAGTCCATTAATGTTCTCTGCTACCATGGTGATTAAACTTCAAACTAACCGAAGATGTAAGGCCTTGCCCCATAATGTGCTCTGCCACCATTGTGATAACATAAAATAAATCTACTAACATAGAATTGTATTTATATATGTCGGGGTGTACACAGTGTTTATGGAATCCTACTGTTACAGGCTGGAGGACAGGTGCCCATCTGGAGTCCAATGTCGTCGACCACACGACTTCCAAAACCAAATGGCACTGACGAAAAACATGACCATATTTGCGGTAAGTTGGGTTTCTAAATAGAAAAGTACATGTTGTGATTGCTATGCAGTCTAGAAGTGTATTAGGTGTTCTTCAAATGCACGTGAAGCTTGCAAGGTGTGTGATATATAGTGGGTAGCTACAACATTATATCATATATATTTATGTCGGTTTTTAAAGGAGAATACGAACGAAAACAAAACTTTTGATATATTGTAAAGGATATTCTAAAAGTCACATTCCGTGATTAAAATTGAACAAAAAGTTTGTAAAATAGCACCAAAAAAAACAAAACGTACTCGTATTTCCACCTATTACGGAAACACCCGACAGTTAATGAGCAGTGGGGTATCACGTGACATGACGTCATAAGTGCCTGTTGCTGATGGCTTTCTCTTTGATTTTACCTCACAACTTAACAGTGTCCGTGGATTCTGAAGCAGTAAAAGCTGTTCCTGGTGTCATTTCTAAACATAATTATACATAATTTTTCATTGAAAATTTGGGAATATGTTTCTGATGACTTTATCTTTCACCAAGCAAAATATTGCAATTCACTCGTCTTCTCCTTTAATTACTGGAAAACCCCGTCATATACCAATATAGGGGAAACGTCCCTATGATCAATAAGCAACATACCACTTATATGCAGACGTCCCCAACAGTAATCTACTGGTAGACGGAGTTCCCAGGGTTTGGATTAACGAGTTTTCATTGAATATAACAACGAGTATCTAAGTAAATCGTATCTCATATTAAAGTATGCCGTGAAACTGAAAATACATGTTTCTATTTTGAAGCTTTTGTTCACAAGAACAACTTCATGTTTTCTGTCACTCTGCCTATTAAGTCTTTCCGGGAACAAACCTCAATATTTTAAACCAGATAAAAACAACGACCCTATAAACGAGAAAATCACGAAGCTACTCACACGATGATGAGAAATGTATTTTTAACTTTGCCCGTGATGTGCCGGTTCCTTGTATACAGGATCGGATGAGGGAAGCCCTTAGCATGATGTCCCAGAGTTTGGACGACCCTGAAGGGGGGATGGACGGCATGATGCAGGTGCTGGCATGTGACGTAAGTGCAGCTGTTTCTGTGAACATGTACCTTTGTCCATATTGACGTCATATGCCGAAATTTAACCGTTCAATCTTGCTTTAAACCCATTTTTCTTTTTCAGTGGATTTCCCTCAGTTTTGTGGTCATGTGTCCAAATTTAATTATATATGCTCAATCTGTCACTCTATCACTCGCACGTTTCCTTAATGCTAAGTTAATGTTACTAATAAAATTGGTTATAATTGCGTTAAACTGACTTCACTCTTTCAGTCACCCATTCTCTTAGTAAACTGAGATTTACTGATTTAATTGTGCATATTTTCGTTAAATCTATTTCACTCACTCATTCGCACTTTCTTTAATTTTAAGCTATTCTTTGCTGACATATTTAGTTCATAGTTTCGTTAAACTCACTTCACTTGACCCATTCAGTCAGTCGTTCTCCTTTAAGCTGATATTTATAGATGTAATTGTTCATAGCTGTGTAGAACCCATTTCACTCACACACATACAACTGTCCCCAACTTAAAGCCGATATCTGTACTGATTTAAAAGTTCACACGGTGACCAATTTCACTCACTTGCAGTCAATCGAGTAACCATCCACCCATCCGTCCACCTACCCACCCGTCCACCTACCCATCCGACCCGTCCGCCCACCCATCCGCCAATCCAATCACAGACACACACCCATACCCGCCCAAACACTTACCCATACCCGCCCAAACACTTACCCATCCGCCTGTCCACTCATCCGCATCCCTACGTTCCCTCCCGCCCACCCCTTATATGCCCACTTGATCGCCCATCCACCTCCCCACCCTCTTTTTTGTCAAGTAATCTGATCAGTGTTTGTCTTCAACAGGACGCCATTGGATGGAGGAAGAGGTCTCGACGTATGGTTGTGTACAGCTCCAACTCCTGGTTTCATCTGGCCGGCGATGGCAAGGTAAACATGCGGCCTTGGTAAAATTACCGGCCTCATATATCATGGCCCCCATCCCTTCATATAGACGCAATATCCGAACACATCTAACGAACCGATTTGTTTCACAGCACTATATCATACAACATGGAACCTTATATTTTCTTCATAAATAATTATGCGTTATTTTTTCAGTTTTGTCCAGGGGCGAGTGGCCACGAATGACTGTCCGGAGGTATTTTGTTAAAACACAGTGGAATATGCCGAATGGACAAGATTGAAAAAAAACGAGCATTCTGTCCCAAGTTAACCATGATTGAGTCCTGGTAAATGTAGACACTTCTCAAATATTTCTTTGTCTTGCTTCAGCTTGGTGGAGCCGTTGCCATCAACGACGGCGATTGTCACCTTGACGGAAGTGGGGAGTACTCAGGTTTTGACACCGTCCTTGTAAGTAATTATTTGTCTAACCTGCACACCCTGAATCAAAGTCAACCCAGGAGATTTATGTGTTGTAATAATGAGAAATACAGATCTTGGCCCAACAAACGTATCCCTCGTATCCCAATTGCATAGATGCTCATGCTGTTGATCACTGGACTAGCTGGTCCAGATTCGATTATTTGCAGACCGCCGCCATATAGTTTGAATATTGCCGAGTGCGGCGTTCAGCAACAAACAAACAAACAAACGTCGTATCAAGCAAACAAGAGACCAGACCATTCAAGGGCCTTGTTTTGTATCCCCATACGTGATTCTATATATGCGACGTGTTACTGATGATCTGATACCCGAACAGTCAGGCCTGATACAAAAACTGTTATGGTTCCGATTACACCTCTTTAAAATTTAGGGTAGGTAGGTAGGATTTTTTTTCTTAACATTATTTTTTATAAGTAAAGTACAAACTAATAACACATTTATCAATGTATAATTGTTTATTCAATCAAAGTTTCGGCCAACATGTCGACTTTCTCTATCAGAATGCCCGATGTCCGCCGATGCCGGGAAAAAACAATGGTATCTAAAAGTTTATTTTATTTAAACCGCTTACAAAAATTAGGGTCGGCACCAGAATTCAAGGTTCGGTCGGGTAATCGGAACCACAGCACTTTTTTTAGGCCTCATTTGAAAACAGTTAGTTTTTACCATGATAGCCACGACAGTGAATCACTCTTTGATGGAAAGATTATGACACCCATTTCTTTTACAAACAGAAATACGGTAAATCAATTCTAATTAAAAACTTGTATACAAGGGGTCTAGCTTAATAATGTCTGTACGTCTTCCAGGACTACCCCAGTGTCAGTCAGCTGGCTAAGAAGGTGAAGGATACCAGGACCAACGTCGTGTTTGCCGTCATGGACAACGTGTACAACGTCCACCAGAAACTCAGTGGCTATCTGGAGGGCTCAGCCATCGACATTCTAGCAGAGGCCTCTAAAAACATCATCGGCCCTTGTCAGAAAAATTACGACGTAAGTTGTTTTATCTTTCTGGCCTACGACGTGTTTATGCAGTAATGTCTTTTGTAATTATCTTACAATATTGAAAGTATTGTTTTCTGTAAATATTTTCTGACTGAAAAGTTCTTTTTTCAGTAAAACTGTCGGAATACCCTGTGAGACATTCGTGAATCGATTTGAATTGTTAATGAAAAATATTGATTATACATCTGTTTTTGTTTCTTTCAGCAACTTAGGTCAAAGATTGAGTTCAAGCCAGTAAATGCAGAAAATGTACAAGTTACATTCAAATCTAAATGTAACGGGTAAGTACCTTAAGGTGAAATTGGGTTTAACGTCGTGCTTGAGAATATTGCTCATATGACGACGTGCATGCGTGTGTATGTGTATGTGCGGCTGCTTGTGCTAGCCCAGACTTAAGCTGGTTTTATAGTGCTAGCCCCCTGAGATACCATGCCGCAGTGAAGCATGAATACCCCACTCAGACACATTATACTGACTCCGAGCCGACCAGTCCTTGTTGTACCCATTAATGCCGAGCGCCAGGCAGGGACCAACAAGTACCATATTTAACGTCTTTTGGTATGACGCGGTCGGGGATCGAACCCGCGACCTTCCGCTCTCCGGGCGGACGCTCTAACCACTACACTACGGAGGTGGTCAGTTACTTAAGAAAAAGACGTTCTAATTTGTTTACTCAACAATCTTCTTGGCCATACGAATCATTGCATTAATGCTGTTTGAACATTTTATACTTTCAGGACCAAAACCAGGATAACAAACGAGTGTACGGGATTAGAACTGGGGGAATCCGTATGTATATTTCTATGTATATTCACATTAAGCATCATCCTCGCACATCAAGGCCATTTTATCTCCTGTCTAACATGATCAATATCCTGAGCCGTGAAGATCTCGGTTAGCATTGGTCTTCAGTTACCCATGCTTATCGTAACGGGATCGGGCGGTCAGGCTTTCTGACTTGGTTGACACATGTCATCGTATCCGAATTGCGTAGAACGATGCTCATGCTGTTGTTCACTGGATTGTCTGGTCCAGACACGATTATTTTCAGACCGCCGCCATATAGCTGTAATATTGCTGAGTGCAACCAACCAACCAATTAATATCCTAAACACGTTAACTACTATTAATAGCTCCATCAAAGTGGCGGAGGGCGATGTTTCAGCATGTGTATGAGTCAGCAAGCGAAACAAATGTTCTTGAAGGACGGTGGGGTAGCCTAGTGGTTAAAGCGTTCGCTCGTCACGCCGAAGACCCGGGTTCGAGTCCCCACATGGGTACAATGTGTGAAGCCCATTTCTGGTGTCCCCTGCCGTGATATTGCTGGAATATTGCTAAAAGCGGCGTAAAACTAAAACTCAGTCACTTTTAATTGTCCTGTTCGAGTTGGCCAACATAGAAATGTTCAGCCAATTTGTGCATGTCAGCCAACGGCTGTGAACGGGTCACGCAATTCATTTTGTAACGAATCTTCTGTGTGAATGACTAAACTCTATTACCCCGAAAATGTCTGTGTATGTCAGTTGATGGGTTGTTTACGGGAGAATGTCTCACATCATATCAACAGTTCACTACCAAACCGGTTATCCTACTCGGAATACAGTGAACCACCTTCCCTAATGTGGTCAAAAAGCAGCATGGCGGCCGGTCAGCTGAACAATAACGGGAGTCGTATGTCGGATTTGAAAAGTCGTTAATATCGTAGTCGTCGTCACGCTTGTCTCGCTGTCAACGTTTCAGGTTGTGTTTGAGGTGGAGGTGAATGTGTCGCCCGAGCTGTGTAAGAAGAAGACGCATACGTTTGACATAGCTGCTGTAGGTCTGTCCGAGAAGCTGACGGTTAACCTTGACCTTGTGTGCGAGTGTGACTGCGAGAAGCCAGGTCAAGAGGTGAGTTAAGAACCTGCGGATTATACATCTTTTGGTGGCACACACATTCATATAACATTTGGTGGCACACACATCATATATCATTTTGTAACACACACATATATCATGTTGTAGTACACAGATTGTTTACATCTTTTGTAGCACACACAGTATACATCAATTGGTGACACGCGCAGCATATATCATTTGTATAACACACACAGCATTTTGTAGGACACACAGGCGTTATACGCACTTTGTAGTACATATATAGCCACATGGAACTGCATATATTATGATATGTTGTGTTACACTCAGGATATAGAAATTGTGTAGCATATACACACAATATATTCAATTTTGTCTATACACACAGCCTATCATATTTTGTCGCTCACACATCACACATAGCATTTGGCAGCACAGTGACCCAATAGCATTGTAAATAACGAGTATTCGAGCTGTAAGGAAGCCTAGAGGTTAAAGAGTTCGCTCTTCACGTCGAAACTCCGGATTCGATTCCCCACATGGGTACAATGAAGCCCATTTCTGGTGTCCCCCGCCGTGATATTGCTGGAACATTGCTGAAAGCGGCGTAAAAAGAATTCACTCACTCACTCACGATTACGAGTAGTATATGGTGTTTTGTCGCACACAAACCCATAGAACTTTTGAGGTAGCATTTTGTTCTACACACACAACTTACAGTATTTTGTACAACACATCATCATATACCATTCTGCAATATGTGTACAAAATTTGTCCTTTGTGGTGAATACACGCGCCATACAAGTTGTACATGTCACGTACGCAGCAAATATTCTATGTGACAGACACGTCGCATTTTACTTTGGAAGAGTTGCTTCCCTTATCCACTCTAGGATCAACTGATCGTTTGTTGAATCACAGGTTCGCCCCGTTAATAGATGTCACTTTGGAAATATTGCCATCCAACTTACATCTACTCAAAGGCGCGTTCTACCAGTAATGATCCGGGTTAGAATTGATATTCAGTAATCCTTGCTTGTCGACTAACGGGATCGGGTGGTAAGGCTCGCTGACATATGTCATCGTATCCCATCTGCGTAGATCGATGCTCATTCTATTGATCACTGGATTGTCTGGTCCAGCCTCGATTATTCACAGTCCGTCGCCATGTAGCTGGAATATTGCTGAGAGCGCTGTTTAACAAACCGACCACACAAAAAACGTTTACATTTTTTCAGTTTTCAAACAAACAAACAAACAAACAAACAAGCGGTGTTCAAATTGCCCCTCTCACTGACCCCTTCCGTATCTTCCTCACAGCAACCAGCCAGCGACCTGTGTAGCGAGGGTAACGGTACATTTGAGTGCGGTCAGTGCACGTGCAACCCCAACCGGTACGGGCGTGTTTGCGAGTGCGACGAGGACCAGCTAACCAGTCAGGAGTCCATTGCAGAGTGCCAGAAAGAGTAAGTACACACTGACCCCTTGAATGATATATCTATTGAGGTCCTAGATGTGCTGCTGTGTTACCCTTAAGGTGTTGATGTACTGTCCAGGAGAGTATGCCCTCTATAGCAGACATCGACCCAACTTGAGTGAGTGAGTGAGAGTATGTTTTTACGCCGCTTTTAGCAATGTTCCAACAATATCACGGCGAGGAACACCAGAATTTAACCTCACACATTGTACCCATGTAGAGAATCGAACCCGGGTCTTCAGCGTGTTGAGCGGACACTATAACCACAGGGCTCAGATCTTATCAAACACTAGTAAAACGACATCAGTGACACCTTAGCTCTTGTTACATAAAAAAAACACGTAAGATCTGATCAAATGCCAATGACAGAGGTCTCTCCTTATTACATACCAGTTAAACGTCAGATATTATCAGACCAGTGAGAGAACCAGTCCTTATTACATACCAGTTAGACGTCAGATATTATCAGACCAGTGAGAGACGTCAGTCCTTATTACATACCAGTTAGACGTCAGATATTATCAGACCAGAGAGAGACGTCAGTCCTTATTACATACCAGTTAGACGTCAGATATACAGACGTCAGTCCTTATTACATACCAGTTAGATCAGACCAGAGAGAGAGACGTCAGTCCTTATTACAAACCAGATACCATAATATCAGACCAGTACAATCCTTATTACATACCAGTCGTGAGATAATATCAGACCAGTATTATACCAGATAGACGTGAGATAATATCAGACCAGAGAGAGACATCAGTCCTTACGTCCTTATTACATACCAGTTAGACGTCAGATATTATCAGACCAGAGAGAGACGTCAGTCCTTATTACATACCAGTTAGACGTGAGATATTATCAGACCAGAGAGAGACGTCAGTCCTTATTACATACCAGTTAGACGTCAGATATTATCAGACCAGAGAGAGACGTCAGTCCTTATTACATACCAGTTAGACGTCAGATATTATAAGACACCAGTGAGAGAACTCACTCCTTATTACATACCAGTACGAAGTCAGATATTATAAGACACCAGTGAGAAGTCAGAACTCACTCCTTATTATATAGCAGTCAGAGACGTCACCTCTTACCAGACACCAGTGAGAGACGCCTGTTCTTATATTATACCCTTATACCAGTGATAGGCACCACTGCAAATTACGCATGGACCTCATGCAGTACCGTACTGACATGGAAACGTCCAGACTGGTAATGAATTGTTAAACATGACTTATTTGCTCTTATTTAGCAGATTTAATTCCTTTAGGTATGTGTCCATTAGGTTAATAGATTATATTTTAAAAGTTAAAAAATAGTTCCATGTTTGTGTGCACATCATTTCTGATTTGATCTGGCATCTGATTGCAACCCACTCTCTTCAGCCCCAACAGCACAGTGGTCTGTTCGGGGCACGGGGACTGTGTGTGTGGAGTGTGTGATTGCTACACCATCGGGATCAACACCGCCAGACGCTACAGCCGCAAATACTGCGAGTGCAACGACTACGCCTGCGACTACTACGACCTTCAGCTGTGTGGAGGCAAGTCTTGTAACATCGTCACCGACTTTTTCTTTTGTTTGTTTGTTACAAGTCGCCCTCAGCATTTTCACGACAATCATTGAGTCTGGACTAGACAAACCAATGATTAATATTAAGAACAACGACCCACGTCATCGGGGTGCGCTGACATGCAATCAGTATGCAAAGCGCCTTTGAGCAATTGTACTGGAAATCGCCCTATACAAATGTTTGTATGTATGTATGTATGTATGTATGTATGTATGTATGTATGTATGTATGTATGTATGTATGTATGTATGTATGTATGTATGTATGTATGTATGTATGTATGTATGTATGTATGTATGTATGAGGCGACTAATGGGATCGGGTGATCAGACTCGCTGACTTGGTTGACGCATGTCATAGTATCCCAACTGCGTAGGTTGATGCTCATGCTGTTGATCACTGGATTGTCTGGTCCAGACTCAATTATTTACACACCGCACATATAGCTGGAATATTGCTGAGAGTGGCGTTAAGCAATAACAAACAAACAAAACAGGACAGCAATGTCACCGAACCTGACCACCCGACCACCCGATCCAATAAACGTCTGTGTATATTACTATAGACCATGTCCTACCCGGAATCCACGTGTGTTTGTACACCTAAAGGCAAATGTAACTGTGACCATGTAATGATAACGAAGAATAATGATGACATGGACAATTAGATATATTGGCTTACATGCTATGCCCTCCAGACAACCATCAGAATAAACCAGGCTAGTGTTACGTTGCAAAGAACAAGCTGTATATATTCTCTATATGTTCTGTTTTATATATATATATATAAGCCTTTGATGATATCCCCAGCCAGGTTAGGACACCAGAAATTAATCTCTCATTAGAATTCTGAAACTAAACTCACTCTCTCTCTCTCTCTCTCTCTCTCTCTCTCTCTCACTCTCTCTCTCTCTCTCACACACACACACACACACACACTCTCTCTCTCTCACACACTCTCACCAAACACATCCTCTCCCAAACACGTTAGAATTGGTCTTCAGCAGCCCATGCTTGTCGTAAGAGGCGACCAACGGATCGGGTTTTCAGGCTCGCTGACTTGCTTGACACATGTCATCGTATCCCCATTGCATAGATCGATGCTCATGATGTTGATCACAAATCAACCCACCAACCCAAACACGTTAACATTCAGTTTCAGGATAAGGAGTTTAAGGGCTCCTTTGTGTTATACGAGCATTGAAAGACAAGCGCCAGAAGAGCATCTCAAAATAATGCTTGTTTAAATATAATTCTGAAAATATTGTATGATAAATAGGAGTATCATCGTCTTTATGAAATTGCTATTGTCTAAAATTAATTACTTATGACCACCCCTCCACTTCCAGGCCCAACACGTGGCGTGTGTAAGTGTGGGGAGTGTCAGTGCTTGACTGGATACAAGGGAGATAACTGTGGCTGCTCTACGAGGAACGACACATGTGAAGCTGAGAATGGCGTAGGTTATATTCTGCTGAAGCATTTTATGTTAATAAATCATTACAGTGTTGGATTGAAGATTGTGTAGACAATACATTGACATGTACAGTCATACTTACAGTAAAAACAAAATTGCAGAACAAAATCAGATTCCAAAAAGGTAAAAAATGCTATTGATTAGGCTATAAAATCTCCGATTTACTGATTGGCAAAACTGTAGAATTTGTTGTTAAAGCTGCAGATGACTTGTGACTATACGATTCCCTTGCTATAGCTTTTGGACTTCATATTACACATTTTGTCAACATCTACTGAATTTTCGACACCTTTACTGAAATAGTGTTTTTGCTCTCAGCAATTGCGTGTTTTACGAGTGCCCGGAGAATTCTGATCTGATTTTAAACACTGCCTCTATCTAGGGAAATGATATTGAAAGTATTTTAATTACTCATTTCTTACTACTATTAAAATCCAAAGTTGCAAATGTTTCAGATGGCAAGTCTGGTAAACTGCAAGCATATACAGACTTGTGATTACATGTTTTACACATTGTAAACAACGGATAAGCATCGTTGATATGTCTTAAAATGTTCCCAGCTTAACAAATGCTTAAAACAATATATTTGCACGTATTAATGCAAGTATCCATGGCCTCTGGTTTCAGGAAATCTGTAACGGTGAAGGCGAGTGTGTATGCGGCAAATGTGAGTGTCGACAGGGAACCAAGTACATCGGCCCTACATGCTCGGACTGTCCGGTAACATTCATTTTATAGTGCTGTACTGTCATTTACTTTGTAGTGCTGGTCAATCATTTACTTTGTAGTGCTGTACAGTCATATACTTTGTAGTGCTGGTCAATCATTTACTTTGTAGTGCTGGTCAATCATTTACTTTGTAGTGCTGGTCAATCATTTACTTTGAGGTGCTGTACAGTCATTTACTTTGTAGTGCTGGTCAATCATTTACTTTGTAGTGCTGGTCAATCATTTACTTTGTAGTGCTGGTCAATCATTTACTTTGTAGTGATGGTCAAGCATCTACTTTGTAGTGCTGGTCAATCATTTACATTCTAGTACTGTACAGTCATTTACTATGTAGTGCTGTACAGTCATTTACTTTGTAGTGCTGGTCAATCATTTACATTGTAGTACTGTACAGTCATTTACTTTCTAGTGCTGGTCAATCATTTACTTTGTAGTTATGGTCAATCATTTACTTTGTAGTGCTGTACAGTCATTTGCTCTGTTGTGCTGTACAGTGATTTACATTGTAGTGTTGTATAGTCATTATCCCCCTCCGTGCGTGCGTCCGTCCGTGCACATTTGTCTTTTCCGGAGCAGAACTCTAAAACCGTTTAGTATTTCTTTACCAAACTTGGCACATAGATTGGTCTAGTGGTGTACTGGTGCCTTTTGGTAGTTTTGGAATTCTGAATAAATTATTTTTGGCTTTTCCATGGCAACAAGTTCGACTTAGCCTGAAATTGGTGGTAGTGCTCTTTTCCGGAGCTGAACTCTAAAACCGTTCAAAAGCGCTAAAAAGATGAAGATGGGTGAAGATTATGAAGCATACTGAGAAAAGGTGGGTTTTCAGTTTTGCTTTAAAACTATCAAAACTGTCAGAGTCTTTGATGTCATATGGAAGAACATTCCAGAGGGCCGGTGCTGTGTAGGAGAAGCTGCGGTGTCCGAAAGATTTCAGTTTGTAGGAGGGTATCACAAGAAGATTCTGAGAGTTGGAACGGAGACTGCGGGCAGGTACATATGGGTGAAGATAGATCTAGTAGTGTACTGGTGCCTTTTGGTAGTTTTGGAATTCTGGATAAAATAATTTTTGCGTTTCCATGGCAACAAGTTTGACTTAGCCTGAAATTGGTGGTTGTGCTCTTTTCCGGAGCTGAACTCTAAAACCGTTCACTATTTCTTCACCAAACTTGGCACATAGATAGATCTGGTGGTGTACTGGTGCCTTTTGGTAGTTTTGGAATTCTGAATAAAATATTTTTGGCTTTTCCATGGCAACAAGTTTGACTTAGCCTGAAGTTGGTGTTTGTGCTCTTTTCCGGAGCTGAACTCTAAAACCTTTCAATACTTACCTTCCACTTTTCTATATACACACCTAAATATTTGACATAATCATAACTCATAGACATCATCATGAAGAGTATTTTGCCATTGCGGGGGATATTGATAACTTTGTCTTCTTGTTTACTTTGTAGTGCTGCCCGGCCCCTTACTTTGTAGTGCTGTACAGTCTTTGACTTTGTAGTGCTGGTCAATTAATTACAATATGGTGCTGGTCATTCATTTACTTCGTAGTCTTGGTCAACCATTTGTTTTATAGTCCTGGTCGACCATTTGTTTGTAGGCCTGGTCAACCGTTTGTTTTGTAGACCTGGTCAATCATTTGTTTTATAGTCCTGGTCAACCATTTGTTTGTAGACCTGGTAGTCCTGGTTAACCATTTTGTTTGTAGTGCTGGTCAACCATTTGGGTTCGTACTGCTGGTCAACCATTTGGTTCGTACTGCTGGTCAACCATTTGTTTTGTAGTCCAGGTCAACCATTTGTTTTGTAGTCCTGGTCAACCGTTTGTTTTGTAGACCTGGTCAATCATTTGTTTTATAGTCCTGGTTAACCATTTGTTTCGTAGTGATGGTCAACCATTTGTTTTGTAGTGCTGGTCAACCATTTGGTTCGTACTGCTGGTCAACCATTTGTTTTGTAGTCCAGGTCAACCATTTGTTTTGTAGTCCTGGTCAACCGTTTGTTTTGTAGAACCTGGTCAATCATTTGTTTTACTGCTGGTCAACTAGTCCAGGTCAACCATTTGTTTGTAGTGCTGGTCAACCGTTTGTTTAGTCGTAGTCATTCAACCATTTGTTTTGTAGTCCAGGTCAGCCATTTGTTTTGTAGTCCTGGTCACCATTTGTTTTTGTAGTCAATCATTTCATTTTATAGTCTAGTCAACCATTTGTTTTGTAGTCCCATGGTCAGTCCATTTTGTTTTGTAGTGCTGGTCAATCGTTTGTTTTATAGTCCTGGTTAACCATTTGTTTCGTAGTGATGGTCAACCATTTGTTTGTTTTATAGACCTGGTCAGCATTTTTGTTTTATAGTCCTGGTTAATACATTTATTTTCGTAGTGATGGTCAACCATTTGTTTCGTAGTGCTGGTCAACCATTTGGTTCGTAACTGGTTCGTACTCTGGTCAACCATTTGTTTTATGAGTAAGTCAACCATTTGTTTTGTAGTCCAGGTCAACCATTTGTTTTGTAGTCCTGGTCAACCGTTTGTTTTGTAGACCTGGTCAATCATTTGTTTTATAGTCCTGGTTAACCATTTGTTTCGTAGTGATGGTCAACCATTTGTTTTGTAGTGCTGGTCAACCATTTGGTTCGTAGTGCTGGTCAACCATTTGTTTTGTAGTGCTGGTCAACCATTTGTTTGTAGTGCTGGTCAACCATTTGGTTCTTGTAGTGCTGGTCAACCATTTGTTTTGTAGTGCTGGTCAACTATTTGTTTTGTAGTCCTGGTCAACCATTTGTTTGTAGTGCTGGTCAACCATTTGGTTCGTACTGCTGGTCAACCATTTGTTTTGTAGTCCAGGTCAACCATTTGTTTTGTAGTCCTGGTCAACCGTTTGTTTTGTAGACCTGGTCAATCATTTGTTTTATAGTCCTGGTTAACCATTTGTTTCGTAGTGATGGTCAACCATTTGTTTTGTAGTGCTGGTCAACCATTTGGTTCGTACTGCTGGTCAACCATTTGTTTTGTAGTCCTGGTCAACCATTTGTTTTGTAGTCCTGGTCAACCATTTGTTTATTGTAGTGCTGTACAGTCAACCATTTTGTTTTGGTAACCATTTGTTTCGTAGTGCTGGTCAACCATTTGTTTTGTAGTGCTGGTCAACCATTTGTTTTGTAGTCCTGGTCAACCATTTGTTTTGTAGTCCTGGTCAACCATTTGTTTTGTAGTCCTGGTCAACCATTTGTTTCGTACTGCTGGTCAACCATTTGTTTTGTAGTCCTGGTCAACCATTTGGTTTGTAGTGCTGGTCAACCATTTTTTGTGGTAGTGCTGGTTGAGTTTTTATGTCCTGGTCAACCATATGTTTTATAGTCCTGGTCAACCATTTGTTTGTGTGCTGGTGAGTTATTTACTTTGTAGTGATGTACTTTCATTTAAAGTGTTAGGACGTCATTAGCGAGATATTTCAATTTGTCTTGATTGTTATGTTGTACATCTATTTGTATTGTCGTATTGTACACCCATTTACATTGTAGTGTTGTACCCTTATTGACATCGTAGTGATGTAGATTCATTAACATTGTAGTGCTTTAAATTCCTGGAAGTCCTGGAAGTCAATTCACATTGTAGTATTCTTGGTTACCCTATTTTGCGATTAATTATATTATTTATAAAAGTATGTTCGTATCGAAATGTGTAATATTTCATAACAGGTTATTCCTAAACAGCGGAAACGCGATACGACCACGTCGTCAGTCATCCACTTATTCAACAGTTAATGTATTACAGACTTGCCCCTCCAAATGCAGTCAGTACAAGTCGTGTGCCCAATGTCTGGGGTTCGGCACGGGGGAGTATGACTCAGTCAGCTGTTCGCGAGAGTGCACCATGGAGTGGGAAAAGCAGGAGAAAGTTGAAGGTGAGATCTTTTGTTAAATAATCTCTAATAATTATCTTTTTGCCGACCCACATATATGCATGAACAGCCTGTCACTTGTCCCACCAGAGTACACACTAAATCAGCACACACACAGCTGTTTGTTTGTTTTTTTTTGTTTTTGTCTTTTGGGGGTTTTTGTTTGGTTTTTTTGTTTGGTTTTGGTTTGGTTTTGTTTTTGGGAGGGGGGTTGTTGTTTGTATTGGGGATTATTTTCTTCTAGGGGAGGGGTTATTATGTTTTGTGTATTTAATTATTTTTTATTTATATCTGTATATTATTATTTATTTTTGGGGGTGGGTGTGTGTTTTTTGGTGGTTTTGTTTAACGCCGCACTCAGAAATATTCCAGCTATATCTGTGATCATATAATGACTGATTAAATTATAATAATTATGATGGTAGTGGCTTTGAGTTGTATGGCTGGTAGTTGTTACGACATATATACCCCGAATCCCTACGGAGTTTGTAATTTGTACACTGACAACACAACTCATGTTCAATCTGTCAGATCGTCCCCAGGACGGCATCAAGATGTGTCGGTCTAGTGGTGAAGATGGGTGCCTCATACTCTACAGCTATGAATATAATGAACAGAACGAGATTGTGCTCAAGATTCAAGAGAAGAAAGGTCAGTGTTCTTCCTTTCGTATTATTCCCGCACAGGCCGAATGCATGCTACGGAAAGTGTCGAGTTGTGACGGATGGTTAATGATATTCATTGGATTATTACGTTCTGTGTATTGCCTTCCCAACCTATCATAGCACATAAACATACTATGTCAAATCAATCCGAAATATAATTAATTTGCGTGCTACATTCGGTTCCCGTTTTTTTTAATGGTTTATATTATGTTATTTACTATTGTCTTCTTGAAGTTACCCGATCTGACTAATTACAAGAAAGACTAAATATTCACACTCTATACTGTATTGTTTACATTGTATACAATACACAATCATGATGTAATTTGTAGTGGTTGTGAAGTCAAAATAATAAACGTAAGATTCGACCTGCTTATCCATTCATTTTGTTTAAATAATGAAAAACAACAACCATTCTCTCTTTACCCAACAGTTTTTCATGGATTCATATTTATGTTGTTCAGTTGTAAGCTATATATATGTGCATTCGGAACCACTCGCACATCTTCGTAACCATGTCACGGAATCACACGAGTGGTCACGAAGGTCATGTCTTCTGACGGTTGTTCTGTCAGTAATGGTGTACTATAATATACTATTCCAAAAAAGAAACGCATAACCCAGACATCTTTTGCGAAAATGTTGTATTTTCAAGTATGTATAACTCGTCCACAAATAGACTTTAGTGCATGAATTTGTACATCAGTTTAGAAGAAGGTAATGTCTATACAACCAAGTGGATACTTTTAGATAACGGAGACGTTGAGCGCGATGGTGACGACGTAGCATGGTCCCAGCGTCGGGTCTCCTGGCTCTCAGTCCAATCTCTCTCAACCTGTTCCGTACAGTTTGACCGGATATCCTCCGAAGTCCAGACACCCTGGCTGCTGTGCTGTCACCCGTGGCAGTTCGATCACGCAAATGTAGTACCCGGATGTACCATCTTGGGCTGCAGTGGTGACTCGAGGTCTGCCTGTACGGGGACGGTCATTTGTTATACCTGTTTGATTGTAACGAGCTGCAAGCAGTGATATCGTGCTCAGACTAACATTCAGACGCCTGGCAACAGAAGATTGGTAATCTCCAGCGTGCATTCTTTCAATGGCGATGTTCCGTGTCGCAGCGTCAAGACGTGGCGTAGTGATTTAACCTTGAAATACTTTCAAAACGAATGCCGAAAGTAATCTGGGTTTTTATAGCGAGACAGTGCATGCTCTTTGCATTTCAACTGGAAGGCGATTTCTGTTGCGTTGTGGCTATGCCTTTTTAATTTTTGTAAGAAATCTCATCAAAATCAACATTTTCAGGTAAAGTCGATTTTTCACTTGTGCAATAGTGTAAAATCATGTTATCAACACATTTGTTACATATTTTGACGATTGTTTGAACACAATTGGTAATGAATAGATTTTTAAAAATACAAAAGACCTATGCGTTTTTTGGGGGGGATAGTATGCATGAACTCTTTGAGTGGCATTGAGATGTGATACACATGAATGAGGATATGTATGGACGTCAACTTCTGTGGACACTCAACAAGGAAAGGTGGTAGTTAAATGGTGGTGGTTGGTGATGACAAATAGAAGCCATTAGCAAATCCAAACTGACATTGGGAGGGCAAGGAGGTAAGGGACAGTTCATAATTTATGGCAAGGGAGTGATGGGGTGTGATGATTTTATCAAGAAGCATGTACAATGTGAATGACCCCACACACACACACACGAACAAATGTACGTACAAAGTAACTGACACCCCCTTGTATATCATATACAAAATCAATAACCCCTCCCAATTATTATTAGGCATAATTTAAAGTTTTTGTCATGTACAAAATTGATGACCCCCCTACATCCTCAAAACAAAATGGGTGCCCCCACCCTTAAAATCATCAAGTGTTCTATGTCTGGAAGCTTTTCGCCTCTACATTTCAAATATCGATCTCACGCAAGTCATAAGGGATAATACGTCTTTTATTGCATCAATAGGAAGCTAAAGTGAGTGCATATGCCCCAATATATATAATATAGGCCAAAATATTGTCGAAAATGTGTGCAATTGTGCCTTTAATGATGAAGGACCAAGAATATGCTCCGAAACGTCGTGTTCCTCATATTGTATTGGTGACCATAATTTTACTCCGGTACTAACATATTGGTCTGTGGTTCTCCAGAGTGTCCCAAAGAGGTTCCTGTGATGGCCATCGCCCTGGGCATCCCTTTCGCCATCCTCATCATCGGCATCCTCATCATCCTCCTCATCCTCTTCATCAAAAGGAGAAGAGAAGCCAAGGAATACGCGGAGTTCCTGAAAGTGTCAAAGAAAGCCAAATGGGAGTCTGTAAGTGGCGTAATATATGTAAATATAATCAATAGCATCGTAACAAGCCACGCCCACCCTTCCCTCCAAGAACACACATCACACATGCTAGACTAATCTTAGTCTCTGAATATATGTTATTTGGATCGAAACAAATGATTCCTTTTAAATTGAAAAGGAGCCCCAGTGAGATGGGATTTTGTGGAAATCTAGACTTGTTCATTTAGAGCTAAGCATTGCAGAAAGGGCTGGGTGGAAAGGAAAGTAATCCTGTTCAGGGACTTTAAGAAGGAATGCGCACGTACACACGGTGTCTCCAGACATAAAGGTATCCTCCATCGTATAGCCTCCCGTCTAACTGAGGAATATTGCTGAGTGCGGCATAAAACTAAACTCACTCACTCCCGTCTAGCTGAACGGGAAGTGGCAGTGGCTAAAGCGTTTGCTCGTAACGGCGAAGAATCGGGTTCGAATCTCCACATGGGTATTGCTGGGACATTGCTAAAGGCGAGGTACAACCTCACTCACACACTAGTTGAATGGGGCTCGATATGTGGCACAAGTGGCACTTATTTCTTACATTAATTGCAGTTATGACACGAATAGTCTTAATTTAGTAAGAACATGATGTTTTGTGTTCCAACATGGTTAAAATTGGGTTTTCTGAAATGTTTTTGCAGGAGAGTAATCCTATTTACCGGGACCCCAAGTCAACTTTCCAGAACCCAACATACAAAGCACTCAAAGAAAAGGAAACACTTCTGGAACAAAATTAAAGGATCACTGGAGCCAAGGGAACAATGTATTTACAGCCCAGAACAAACACGACTTGGCTACGTTGTGTCGTCAGCAGTGACGTAGTTGTTGATGCTGACGGAGAAGGTGCTACACACCCTGGGGAAGCTGTGACGGAGTGGCAATGACAATCATACCCTACACGTGCAGGGATATGCATGGCCGTTAGTCCGTTAGTCCGAGACGAGTTACAATCTAGATGGACTAATTGTTTTCTCACAAAGGTTATTCTATGTAAGGCATTAGTCCGGGGTGAGTGGCTGACTCGTATGACAAATGGTTCCTAGCTCTGCAACTATCCGGGTGTTTCTGACCCAACACACTAGACTTCGTCTGGGACAGCTCGGAACCATTTGACTGACACAGTAATACCCTCTTCATTACGCTCACAAACTCTTTATAACCACACAGTGGTACACGACATATATACAATAGGACCCCTTACATACCATACGATAGAACCACTTTCACACAATCTAATAGAGTCCCATTCATACCTACAAAAAAAACCCGAAATGACAGAAAATAGAAACCCTTACATACCAATAAACAGGGGCCCTTGCATACCATACAACAGAGCCCTTACACACAAAACAACAGAGTCGTTAACATACATATCAACAGAGCTCCTTGTACACCATACAACAAAGCCTCTCACATACAAAACAACAAACCCTTACATACAAAACAACAGAGCTCTTTACACATAAAAGAACAAGAACAGAGTCCCCAACATACAAATCAACAGAACCCCTTGTATACCATATAACAGAGCCCCTAACATACAAAACAACAAACCGCTTACATACAAAACAATAGCTCTACCCCACCCACCACACCACACACCCCTCACACCCCGCTCACACACACACACACACACACACACACACACACACACACACACACACACCATACATAAGATCACATTTATACAGCAAACACCGCCCGGAATGGACCCTCTTGTACAACGCAACAGAACCCCTCAAAGTGTCGCAACAGAACCCTTCACTTCTCACAAACATCACAACTAACTTGAGTGACGAATGTTTTTCAACATCGAAGTGGGTAATATTCCAGCTAAATCAAAGTTGCCAGAAAATTGTCGAGTCAGCACCAGTGAGAGCGTGATCGGGGTTTGGAGACAGGTGATCAGCATGGCGACTGTACTGGGAACAGATTCTGACCCGGAATTCCTCTAGCAGTCCCTCACATACCAATCAAAACGACGCAGATTCTCAAAACACAGAATAACCTCAAACAAACGACACAACATATTCTCACAACACAAAAGGCACGATCAATTCAAACCACAGACGACCCCTGAACATCCGGGTTAGATTCGGTCTTCGGTAACCCATGCTTGTCGTAAGAAGCGACTAACGGGATCGGGTGGTCAGGCTCGCTGACTTGGTTGACACATGTCATCGTATCCCAATTGCATAGATCGATGCTCATGCTGTTGATCACTGGGTTGTCTGGTCTTGATTATTTACAGATCGCCGCCCTATAGCTGGAATATTGCTGAGTGCGACGTAAAACAAACACCCAACCTACCCAATCCAACCCACACCACAGCCTCTCACACAACACACATCATATTACAAATGTATCCCGAATCGTGAATTCAAAACATTCCCCTAGTTTTTGTTATGATGTAACCTAGCAACCGTAGTTTGTATATTGAGTAACTGGTCATCAAGAATTGCATATACTTGCATGTGTTTGAGCCTACTCGTGTATGGTGCCTGTAGTGTCTGTGATACAACCTGTATACTAGGAGACTGTAGATAGTGTAGACATCACAAGTGTACTGACACTTTGCCAAAGTTACTCTTTCATCGCATGTGACCTGCTCACCAGTGTTTATTTGTCTGTTCACATTCACTCTTTTTACGTCGCTTTTTTACGTCAGCCTCAGATAGGGTTATGTTTGTAAGTCAGCCTCAGATAGGGTTATGCTTGAAGGTCAGCCTCAGTTAGGGTTATGCTTGAAGGTCAGCCTCAGTTAGGGTTATGTTTGTAAGTCAGCCTCAGATAGGGTTATGTTTGTAAGTCAGCCTCAGATAGGGTTATGTTTGTAAGTCAGCCTCAGTTAGGGTTATGTTTGAAAGTCAGCCTCAGATAGGGTTATGCTTGAAGGTCAGCCTCAGTTAGGGTTATGCTTGAAGGTCAGCCTCAGTTAGGGTTATGTTTGAAAGTCAGCCTCAGATAGGGTTATGTTTGTAAGTCAGCCTCAGTGGTAGACACAGCGCCATGTTTGTAAGTCAGCCTCAGTGGTAGACACCGCCATGTTTGTAAGTCAGCCTCAGTGGTAGACACAGGGCCATGTTTGTAAGTCAGCCTCAGTGGTAGACACGGCCATGTTTGTAAGTCAGCCTCAGTGGTAGACACAGGGCCATGTTTGTAAGTCAGATGTTAGTGGTAAGCGTAACCTTCTGCACTTACTGTTCTTGTCAAGCGGCTTACTGTACTTTTGTCACGCTAATATCTGATCTCACGTACTGCACTTGTCACGTGGCCACCTTGCGTCACTCACTGTACCAAATACCATCATATCTTCCTTGTCACTGACGTTAGACCTGTATGAGGCATTATACAACCCGTGTGGTTCCAAATTAGCACCCCGCATAGACCAATCTATAATTCCACCAATACAACAACCGTATATCTGGATATATATTTAAACCAAGTCAGTATTGTCCAGCGGGATATGACTGCACGCCACATTAAGTTGTTCTACACTGCCGGATTCCACTGTCGGTGCGACACTGACACCTGCCATTCCTCGTTCGTGCATTCGTGACCCAATCGTGTTATTCCGGGACAAGCCGAATCATTCGTCAACACTCGCCCCTTTCCGTAACCTCCAAGAAGACACGCCCCCCTCTCGATGCTTGCTATGTGCGTCCAGAGTACTTAAATCGTTTATCGCATTATGTCACTGTTTAAAAAATCATGAAAAATATATATCGTAATATTGAAAATATAAAGAACGTAGCTAACAGGATTTTGCTGCGTATTATGAAGTTTTTAATAAGAATCATGCGATTGACGGTAAGAGATTCAAATAAATAAATACACACACGTGCGTTTGTTGACATTTAACGGCTCTCATTGGTCCAACGGAGTGTATTTCTGACGATCTTGCGGGCTTGTTATGGAGATTGTACGTGCGCTTCGACCAATTTTAGGAAATGTAATTATAGTCGCTTCGAGTTTCAAAACAATAATATCGTACTTGTATGTAACTGATCAACCTTAATCTTTAACATTGGGCTTATATTTCACAGCTCTGGGGATATTTTAGTCTGACTGTTTTTTGGTCATTCATATTTTTTTTTCAGCGAATTCATTTAAAATTCCACAAGGGGTGTGACAGCAAGGATACACGAATGTTCAGTTTGAGAAACATATAAAGTCATTTTTTTTTAGTATCTGCTTGGATTTAATGTAGTGGAAGAAATATTATTTTATTTGTATATTCAATAAAACAATTCCCATTTTTGATTATTAAACCCTATTAAGAAAATTAACATAATTGGAAATCTAAAGTGAACAGCTGGTAATAACTACAATAGCATATGTCTTTCACAAATATGTTTTTCTCCTTCTTTTAGTTGTATCAAAGAGGTTTAATTCTTAAAAATAAATAAGTAAAAAAAACCCACCAAAACAACAACCTAGCAATACAACGTATATGCGCTTCGGTGATATAAAGAAACATTTGAATCAAACAGGGATAGAGTTATCCTTCCCGAGGGGCACGAGTCGCTATTCGTGACCAACTCGTGTTATTCCGGGACAAACCGAATAGATCACGGAAAGGGCCGAGTGGTGACGAATGGCCGAATACCGAGGTTACGGAAAGGGCCGAGTGGTGGCGAATGTAAAAGGTGCTTGCCTTCAGATCCACATTCCTCGTTAGAAACACCTCTAGGTAATAGCTTGTGTTAGCATAATATCATATAGAGGGTGCATAATACCATATATCATTTCTGTGTATATAGTCATGGTGTTTACATGTTTATGGGTGAGTGAGTGTTGTCAGACGCCACAATATTCCAGTCAAATCATGAAGGGATATACAAGTGGTATAGGGAGTAATGACTAAACACTGCTAAAGGTGGTGTTGAACCTCAGTTGCTTACTTGTTATGCAAATTTTGAATATTAGATTTCATTTATTTATAGTTTACATATGACGCATATTTGTGACAAGAAATGTTTAGTGAACCTTCCTCAAAGATTGACTATGTTGAACAAATGTACTGTTTTGGTATGTCACCAATGTGTTGACCTTTATGAACAATATATTGACATAGTCTGTTTTTTTGTTTCAAAACCAGGTCCAGTGTTTGTTTGTGATTGTTAAGGTTGTACGGATATTAACGAGTTGCTACGAGATATTATTGAGTCATAACGAGATATTATTGAATTATTACGAGATATTACTTTCCTGACAATAATTCTACGCCATGTTACCGAAGAGTCTGTATTTGATTTCTTCCTACTCAGCAGAAATATGAATGTCATGTGAATGAGGAATGGTAAAAATAAGTTCTGAGGAAACATATTTTTGACGGTCTACTATAGGTTGACTGACACTTATGTTTGTGATCATAGATCCCAGTTATGGGATGGATGTATGTGTGCCTCTTCCCTCATATATCACTTCATCATGGAGGATTAATTAATTACATGCATTTACACTCCTTGGTCTGTGCTGCCTGACCATACTGCAGATATACGCATCAATACTTGTTTTACATACTGTATATGAACATATGTTTATACCATTAAAGGCAGCTTTTACACAACGCTTTGTTTTGTTTTCTGTACACGTGTGTATCAATGAACCCGTGATGATCCGGGTTAGAATTGATCTTGTCCATGCTTGTCGCAAGAGGTGACTAACGGGATCGGGTGGTCAGGCTCGCTGGCTTGGTTGACACATGTCATCGCATATCAACTGGGTAGATCAATGCTCGTGGTGTTGATCACTGGTTTGTCTGGTCAAGACTCGATTATTTACAGACCGCCGCCATATAGCTGGAATATTGCTGAGTGCGCCGTAAAACTATACTCACTAACGTATATCAAAGAAGAGTGGGCAAACAGGCATGGCTGTCATTTCAGGTAAACTAAAATTGAGGTCCGTTTCTTGAAGTGAACTGGCATTTATGTCCGTCACTTCAAAACTGCCCTTTCCGGCCCTTCACTTTATTTATACTAGTATACCGACGTCCGTCACTTGTCAGGAAACACGTAATAAGGAGGGTGTAAACTGGTATATTGATGTCCGTCACCTGTCAGGGAACACGTAATAAGGAGGGTGTAAACTGGTATATTGATGTCCGTCACTTGTCAGGGAACACGTAATAAGGAGGGTGTAAACTGGTATATTGATGTCCGTCACCTGTCAGGGAACACGTAATAAGGAGGGTGTAAACTGGTATATTGATGTCCGTCACTTGTCAGGGAACACGTACAAGTAAACTAAGGAGGGTGTAAACTGGTATATTGATGTCCGTCACCGTGTCAGGAACACGTAATAAGGAGGGTGTAAACTGGTATATTGATGTCCGTCACTTGTCAGGGAACACGTAATAAGGAGGGTGTAAACTGGTATATTGATGTCCGTCACTTGTCAAGGAACACGTAATAAGGAGGGTGTAAACTGGTATATTGATGTCCGTCACTTGTCAGGGAACACGTAATAAGGAGGGTGTAAACTGGTATATTGATGTCCGTCACTTGTCAGGGAACACGTAATAAGGAGGGTGTAAACTGGTATATTGATGTCCGTCACCTGTCAGGAAACACGTAATAAGGAAAACTGGTATATTGATGTCCGTCACTTGTCAGGGAACACGTAATAAGGAGGGTGTAAACTGGTATATTGATGTCCGTCAC